TTGTTAAAGACTTACCATGATTATTCAATATCTATAATCATCCATCTATTGAAAGATAAGAGTGAACTGACCTTCAGGAACCTTAACAAAATAATCTAAATCAATTTGCATTCGGATACATTTTTCTCTGTCCCAACCAGGGATTGTAGATTCCTCTTCATGGACGATATCTGTTGATTCATCGTACCCTTTGTTTCGTTTTTCTGCTTCATCACGAATTCGATACGCGATCTCACGGACTACAAAAGCAAAAACGAAGAATCAAAGATTTGGGTTGACAGATTAAATGATGATCGTACACTGTTGGGAGGGCTGTCGTTGTCGATAATCGCGATTGAATCCTTCGTTCTGTCTGTCGCGATTGTATCCTCCGTCGCGATTGTATCCTCCGTCGCGATTGTATCCTCCGTCGCGATTGTATCCTTCGTTCCGTCTGTCGCGATCAAATCCTTCGTTCCGTCGGTCGCGATTGAATCCTTCGTTCCGTCCGTCGCGATTAAATCCTTCGTATCGTCCGTCCCGATGTTCTCCATGATGATGATTTGAATGCAGACGATCACGTATTTCAAGATAATTTTTCCATCGCGAGTCAGATTGATGAGAGCTGTTATAACCGTAGCCATCATTTCTCTGGGTGGAACTGTACGTTCTGGGAGAAGGAGGTTCATATCGACTACCACGAGCCTCATTCGATGGAGGAGGGCTTGGACGCCTTCGTCTCTCCTCCCTCGATTCTTGTATACGATGAACAATTCGGGGAGGTTCAATAGATGGACTTCTAAACGATTCATCAAGCCTGAAAGAAACAGAAAAACCTTTAACTAGTCCAACTTTTAACTAGGAGATACGAAAAGATAGAAGCTCTCACGTCAACCAGCAGCGATACCGAGAGATCAATGCGACGGAAACTTCCTCACCTTCGATGAGAGCGTTCTACTGGTTCCCGATGCCGGGGTTCCGGACGCGCAGGACGAACTGCCCTTTTTGAACGTTCGGAGAAGTCGTTGGATGGCGATCTTCCGTGTCGTGCGCGACGGCGTGTCCGTGAAACGTCAACCGACGATGAGGATTGGCGTCTTGGAAGCTTTCTTCGACTCGATTTTAGAGGATTCTTACTCCTCCGAGATTTACTGATGATTGAATCGGGATGACTGCCTCCAGAATTGCATTCCTCCGAAGAATCAGAACATGACTGATACTGTCGGCGTAGACTCTTCTTCGCATTTTTCCTTGTAACCCGTCTCTCACGCACCGATGCCTTGGTCTCAAACGGATCAACGGGTTCCCTTCTATCAGAGATAGACACGGTTGTTGAAAGCGCGTCACGCCCTCCTTTCTCCAAAATGAATTGATCTTCATCAGAATCTGGTAGAAACCCAATAGGTTGACTCATGGTGATGATTGCTTGTTCGATTACAAACAGGTGTCGTGCAGGAGCCGTGACTGATTGATGTCCTGTCATCTCTTTTGTATGGCACTCCAAACGACGCTCACTTCGACATCATCAAATGAACCAATTGGTGGAGTTTATGCGTCAAGCCCGCAAATTGTGGTTCATATTGACATGGTGAGCCATTCAGTATGACTATCCATACAATGTCCCTGAATATATGAACGTACGGGCAAGAGAAGATAATGGGTGACAATCATTAGGACTGTTTCTACGCTCAAGTAGAGCAGCGGAGACTAGGAATTCCTCGAGGTACATCTTAAGCTGCTTTTATTCTACATTTCTGATTGTTTTTCTCGTGCTGATATTTTTTCAAGATCGCCCGGTTGGTGTTCAGCAAGTAAGTCTCAATGAGACAGCAGCCGTTGAGATACACTAGAAATGTTGATGTCTCTTAGTGGGAGTCGCTTATTGCGGTTAACTATGCTGCTAGAAGTTGGGGAGTCAAACGCGGCGATAGTGTGAAGACGGCAATTCAGAAGTGTCCAAACATTTGTTGTGTTCATGTTGAGGTTTTGGGACAATCAGGCAGTTCGGTGTCCCAACGCCCTAATAGAACACTTCACAAAGCGTCCCTTCGGCGGTATAGAGAAGCCAGCACGGAGGTATTAAGATTTAATGATTTAAGATTCATTTAATCGAATATTTGAACTTCTTTGAATCGATTGTTTGTCAATCAGGTTATGACAGTCATTCGTCAAGGATACGATTTGGTTTTTGAAAGAGCATCAATCGATGAAGCTTACGTGGATTTAACACTTGCAGTTGACAAGCGTGTAGAAGAGCTCAGTGGTCTCTTGCAAGGAGCTCTTCAAGGATTCAGCGATGCAGCTGTTGAGCCCACGGCCACCCTCGCAGAAATTCTCAACCGTCAACCACCATCAAAACCAGAGTCATCACTCCCTCATGAAGTTGATTGGGTATTTTATTGGATTCAATGGCTCGACGAACTTGACAGATCGATTCGAAGTCTTGATTCCCAAGAACGATCAACAAAAAAAGTTGAAAATTTAAAGTGTCGATTTGGCGAAATCTGGGATTGTGTTTTTGGAGAAGACGGACCACTTCACTTCATGTCCCAAGGAAGTCTTTCTAAGGGAGATGTTGTCAAGCGCATCAACGGACTCTCTCTTGAACTGAAAGAAAGTCGTGTTGAAGGTGGGACTGATGACTTGAACAGCGTGTCCCAATATGGAAGATCCTCTTTGCGATGTTTGCGCAGATATTCGCCTTCTAATTGCTTGCAATTTGGTTCACAACATTCGGATGAACATCGCTGCAGCAACCGAATTCACTGCAAGCGCTGGAATTGCACGAAATAAGGTCACCCATGCTTCTATTTTGTCCCTCACAGAAGAGTTGTTTTGAACAGTTCATTGCTAAAGAAATTTCTGCGCGACACAAACCAGATGCTCAGACGGTCATTTTTGACAGAGATCTTAACGACTCCCTCCGGAGTATCAAAATTCGATCCACGCGGGGGCTTCGGGGAAAAACCGGGGAGTTTCTTTTGAGTCGCATTCCTTCTCTTGAGACCCTCTTCGACTTGCAGCAATACAGTTTATCAGATTTGAAAAAGAGATTCGCAAACTCCTCTGTTGATGATAAATTTTTGGGATGGATCTATTCTTTGGGAAGGTGCGTCGCTTCTCCTGATGAGATCGTGTAATTGAAATTTTGTATCTGAATCGTTTTTTTTTATAGAGGATGTCCCAATGATGAAGTGAAGCCAGTTAGCCAAACAAAATCACTTCTTGCCGTGAAGACGTTCAAGCCTATAATGACATTTAGACAGCTAGAAGTCAGTCGACTCTTTAATTCAACAACACTTCTTTCTTGCAGTACTGGATAACGATCTTATGTCAAGAATTATCATCAAGACTAGAAGAAGAGTTTCATGATCACCAAAGGTCTCCAAAGACACTTGGTATGGAACCATTTGAAGAACCTTGCAAATCTCCTTCTTCGTCAGTTATTCATCATACGGGAGGATCACCCCAAGAATTGAATCGAACAAGATCAGCACCCGCTCCATCGCCCCGCACATTACCAGGTATTCATTATGTTTGATCGCTTATACAAATTCAACAAAACTGTTTAAATCGCCATTCCTCTTCGTCTTCTTCCCGACACTGTTGTAATACAGACGCATTCTTGTCTTCTCTCAGGCCCGTTGACTTCAGAAGATTTAGAAGCGTTTGTTAGAAATTCCTTAACCTCAAGGTTTTCCCCGCAAGAATTGTTCCCATGCAGCAGATTGGGAGTCGCCGCAACAGATTTATTGTCTGAACTCGTTGGTCAACAATCGATACTCCAATTTTCGAGACAGGCGCGCAAACATCAATCTTCCAGTTTTCCTTCCACTTCGCCAAAAAAAGGGACTTTGGAAAGTTGTTTCAAGAGAAATCAAGATGGAGCGTCTTCCACTGATCCCCTTAATTCGAACGACAGAACACACAAGAGGAAGAAGAAGAGAAGGAAAGTTCATCCCTCATTAGCTGTTTGTCGTACAGTGCAAATCACAATTGACCCCGCTGTTCTACTGGAATAACGGCAGCGATTCCGAGCCTCAAAGGACTCCAGAGTCGCACTGTGGCTATTCATTTTAGAGAAAATTACTTGGTAGTAAATATTTTATTTGTTTTGCTGATTTACACATTCGTGCCACACATTCATGGAACGGGTCACGTTTCCAATGTTCCAGAAAAAGTGGAAGAATGCAAACTGAACGTCATGTAAATTCTGCACTTCCTCCTATAATCGTGGTTGACTGACGACTTCACAGAACGCAGTTTTGAGTTGAGAATTGATGATGCTGGGTTTCATCAGAGCCATCCCCATTTTGCTCCACATGAAACAGCCATTCGAATCGAAAACCCATTCATATCACTATTTCCATTGCTGGTGAAGGAATTCCACCAGCACGTCAAAGCTCCCTTCCTGTCCACGAAGGAATTCAGATTGGCTTCGGAAATCTGTCTCGTATTGAATTCAGAAAGACAATCGATTTTACTCTTTCTGGCAATTCCATAACTTCTTCTAAGGAGTCCCATAGCCTATTGATTTTGTGAACATGCGCATCAATGTCATCATCCATTAAGCACAGATTAAACAACTCTCCCATCAATACAACTTCTGAGCCTCGGCCAAACGCATTCTTGAGCTCGGTATATGCTTCATTTTCCCTAATGTGATGTTGCACTGAAGGTGAACACGTTAATACGATGCGTGCATGGGCTAGCTTCGAATCACGACATCTCGACACGTCTTCCGTAATAAGAAACTGTTCGATGTCATTCAAACGGAATAGTGCCTTCAAATTGAAATCATATTCTCGCCAGTTCGATTTGGTGAGCTTGACAAAAGAACTTGGTAGTATAACAGTTCGAGGTTGATAGGATGCCATTGTCGTTAGTCGGAACGCTATTTACTCTGCGAAGTTAAAGTGAGTGTAGGTCCATGAGACAAAGGTACGACATCACAACCATAAGAGATTAAGAAGGCGATTCTGGTCCTGCGACTGGGGTGACTGGTTCCTACTGGTTCAGTTATGTATAATGGAATTGGGCTTCCAACAGCTAGGGGATCGGGTACAAGTGGCTACATCCAGAGAAACTTATCTTATTTGAAGCCAAGACGGTCTGATTTTCCATCAGCAACAGCAATTGGCTCTGAGAGATATTTTGATGAAGAAAAGGCACCGAAAGTCAAAAAGGCAAACGCAGAATTACTGCAACATGAAAAACGACGTAAAGTTGAAGTTCAACTGGTTGTTTTTTCAGACGAGTTAAAATCGAAAGGACTGGAAGAAGAAGAAATGGAAAAGCTCATCAATCTTGAACGGGAGCGATTGCTGGGTTGCATGGCAGAGAAAGAAATTCATGCAAGAAACAAACAAGACAGAGAAGTGATTTTAGGGTGAGATTGATCAAATAAATAAGGAGCTCATTCCCTTTCTCAGACTTGACACCCATCAGCTTGCCGCCCTCAAGGACTCCGAAAATAGAAGGTTACGGGATGCCCTTGATCTAGACAGGAAGAAGCCGTCGTCTAAACCCCAAAAAAGTGAATCCTTTTCAGAGAACAAAAAACGTCGTCGAAGGTCACCCTCATCCGAACGACACAATAGTCATAAACATCGTAGTAGCAGTTTAGTGAGAGACTCAGTCAAGCGAAGTCGATATTGATTTTCTGTGTATCTGTAAAAAAAACCAACGCAAAAGAACTTTCAGGTCTGGTCCTTTTCGAAAAGTCTGCTGTTTTGAATTTCTGGTGGTAAGCGTATCTGCTGAGAGGGATTGTTGAGAACGTTTATTTTTCAGGCCCATGGAACGATTGTTTTGACTTTTTACATTCAATGAACGGCGAATCTGAGGGAAGACTCCTGGAGGAGTCAATGGGTGTAGTGAGCGAGCAGTCCTATTTAATGAGACAAGGGATGGTGAGATGGGATGTTATGGAATTTCATGTCTAACAAGATTTTTCAGGAGTCCGGCAACATTCGCGACGTATTAAAGCATAGTTCAACATTGATTGCGGAGTTACGGACGTCATCCTTATCCCCTCGGAAATATTATGAATTATGTAAGAACAGTTACAATAACAGTTCTTGCTGACAATAACAGTTCTTGCTGACAACTGTCTCCCTGTTTCAGCTGAGTATCGTGTCACTAATTTGTTTTTCAGATATGCACGTATTTCAAGAATTACAACACTTGCATTCCTTCTTTAGCGATCGTTCTCGTCGTCGTCGTCGTTTAGCAGAATTGTATGAATCAGTTCAGCATGCTGGAAACGTTCTTCCACGTCTTTATCTACTAGTATGCGTCGGTGCTGCTTGTATACGAGAGAGAGAAATAGCCCCGCATGAGACTTTAGTAGATCTCAATGAATTGTGCAAAGGGGTCCAACATCCGCTCCGTGGACTCTTTCTGAGATATTTTCTTGTTCAAATGGTGAAAGGCGTTCTTCCTGATCGCGGAGACTCCGACTATCCTGACTGGTGGGTTCTTAATCTGTTTCTTTATAAAGGAATTTTTTTTGTTTTTTATTTATCGATATCTACGATTTCAGGCCTGGTGGCTCCGAGGAAAATCCTTCTTCTACAGATACATCTTTCGAGTTTCTCTTCAATAATTGTGTGGAAGCCACGAAATTATGGACGCGTGTTCAATTTCAGCCTCTTATCGGCGACAAAACGAAGAAGGAAAATGACCGTCATTCTTTAAGAGTTTTAGTTGGAGCAAATCTTGTCTGCATGGCGCAACTTGATGGAGTGACTGTCAATTTCTATCAGACATTAGCATTGCCGAAACTCTTAACTCATATCAATGGATTGAGAGATGTCATGGCACAACAGTATCTATTAGAATGTGTCGTACAAGGTGTGTTCATGATTCAATAATTCTGACGTTCTTTTCTTCAAGTGTTTAGCGATGAATGTCATCTGGCGACTCTCAAGGAATTGATGGATGGAATCAATGCAGCGAATTCCTCAGGTAAAAGAGATTTGTATATTGATGACACATGTCTTGAAGCTGCTTAAGATTTCTTGTCATTTTCACGCAGTTGACATTAAAGTCATTTTCAGCAATCTCTTCAGCCGGCTTAAAACCTTTTTAACCTCCGACTCATTTGGGAATGAAGAGGAACCGGCTTTAGAGAAAGCTGCAGCGATTGAAGACAGTCCAATCAAGAATGAACAATTCTCGACCCTCCCGGAACCTTCAGCAGAGTCTCCGTCTGAGGCAGTCCCAGATCTCCCAGATGTCCCAAATGTCCCAGATGTATCAAATGTCCCAGAAGTATCAAATGTAGAAGTCTTGAATCTCCCATCATCTCCTCTCTCACGACCCGATGAAGGATCCCAAGTTCTTCTCGAGGAATCCCAGGATTCTTCAATTCCTTTTGCTCAACTTCCAAGTTCTCGAAATTCACGTCCAACTTCTCCAGATTTTAAACGCGTTAGTGCTGCTTTATCAGCATTTACCACAATTCGTGAAGGTCTGATGGACTTGATTCAAAAGGCTTACGATGAAGATTTTCGATCTCCGCCTCCCAAAACTCCAACAAAGCCTGGCAGTGAGTTTACCATTAAACGAGTTCCCGCTATTCCCCTTCTTCAGGCAGACCGCCACCCCCCTATCGACGCACCGTTGTCGACATCTTCAGAACTCTTCAATCCTTTCTCGACTTTTCTCTGTCCGTTTTTCCGGAACGTGTCGATCTCGTTGATTCGGTTTTCCAATTGCTTTATCCCCTCGTGGCGATGAACACAGAGGAAAGTGTGTCCCAGCCGAAAGACAAGGATCAAGAGACAAGTCTTTCCCAAGCTGTAGGAAGTCTCTTATCCGACCCATTCCGTCAGCCTGGATACTTAAATTTGATTCATGGAAAGCATTATTCCAAACTGCTAGAGTGCTTGAGTAACGAAATCAAGATTCAAGGTGGGTGTTGCTGATGGTGTGTATCAGTGCTGATCTTTTTTTTGTTGTAGTTGCACGCGATATGGTTGCTGCTCTTCTGAAATCGGATGAGGAAATTAGTGACCCTTCCGTGTGTGATAAACTCTATTCTCTGCTCCATCTCGTTATCGCTTCTCCTAAACCGAATTCTTCTGCTGAGGCTAAAGAATGGGTGAACGAGGTGGAAAACACTGCTGCGTTATGCCATTTGATCAAAGTACGCGCTAATTTGATGGATGTCTACACTTGAGCATGACGAGATGATTGTAGACTAGAAAGAGTTATTTCTTTGTGATGTAGGATGACGATACGGATCTTCATTTTTCGATGTTGCTTTCGGCGAAACAATCACTTCTCTCTGGCCATCCAGACACCATCCACTACACCATTCCTGCTGTCGTCACATGCTTATTGAGCTTGATTCCTCGTATTCAAACTCGATCAGACGGTGCTTCGGAACCTCAATCGGGTAAACAGTTGAAAGCTCGACTTTCTGCTCAACATTATTTCCGTCGCAGGTCCTCCTTCACCACAAGCCGCGACACAACACCCTTCCCCACAAATTTCTCCTCGTATTGATCACTCCCAATCAGCACCACAGTCTAGCGTTGCAACTCCAACACTCCCGAGTGTTTCAGTTAGAAGAGTCTTACAGCAAGTTCATGGGACTTGTGTGGATTTAATCGAGAGCAATCCTGACCTGGCTTTCCGATTGCTGCTATTAGCGGCAGAGGCGACTGCCCAGGCCAATCAATCGGCATCAGAAGACTATAGAGTCATTTGTAATGAAGTAGGCAAACAGAGAATCGCTCGATTGACATTTTTCTTCTTCAGTTCTTCAAGCAAGCACTTGTTTGCTATGAAGAGGATTTGACTGATAATCGCTGTAAAGTCAGAGGTGTGTTCAACCTCTTTGATGTCGCTTTCTTATTTCGATTTTTTGTTCAGCTCTTCCTCTTCTGGTTGGTTTTCTCTCAACATCTGGGAGAGCGTGTCTTGATATCGAGGCCTTTGATTCCCTGGTGTGTTGCTCATTCCATCCCCTCATTCACTGACCCGTTGCAATCCAGGCAGAGAAATCAACACGGCATGCTGCGAAGTTGTTGAAGAGTTCTGATCAGTGCCGCGCTGTGCTTTTATGTTCTCATTTGTTTTGGGACCCTCAGACGGTCAGTCTCCATAATACGAGTCTCTGTTCTTCACTCTTTCTTATTTTATTTTCAGGAGTCACGGTGCGAGATTTTGCGAGTACTTGAGTGTCTTCAGCGTTGTCTTAAACTCGCTACGGACGCTGTTCAATTCAATGTCTTGGACGTGACGTTGTTCGTTGACATCTTCGAAAAGTATCTATTTTACTTTGAAGGTGGTCCCGATGTCGGTGGAGTAGGTTATTGGGATGTATCTTTTATGGGACACACGTTGATTCTCGTAGATCCCTCCCGAATCGCTCACAAGTCTTTTAGCTTTGTGTAGTGAACAGCTTGCGTTTGCGGAGTCATCTTCTGCTGCTTCAAGTGAATCAACACGTGAAACGATTCTTGCATCTCAAAGACATTTAGCAAATACTGTTGATTATATTCGAACTTGTCGAGATTCGGACGTCAATTCAAAATTTCATCGTAAGATTTTATACAAGATTAAATACTTCATCAAAATCTTGCAAGACCCTTTTGTTCTTCCATGAGCTGTCCCTTCCTCAGATATTGACACAAGCTTCTTCCCATGAATCATTTATTGGTTTTCCATGCTCCTTGTCCCAAATTCGCTTTTGTGCTTTTGTTGTTCGATCTTTATGTTTTCTGCGGCAAATCCTTATCAAATCAGCTTCTCTCATGTATCTGATTATTCAAGCAGAACAACTCCTATCACTCAGTGTTCTGTCTCATTCTGAGTTCTACCCTCAATCAACTTGTGCATGATCCCTACACTTAATGCAATCACGCTAAGCAGCTAATTCAATTGGGGTGCTAGTTTTGCTTCGCCTGACTAGTCAACTTTTATGTGATGAGCTTTTATCATCATGTACAAAAAAAATGCTCGGAAGGGAGTTTGATGGAAATTTATGATTAAGCAAGGAATTTAACGTTCAATGGGGGAGACGCCTTCCTTCGAACTCACTCTTCCCATCCCTTGCTCCAACTGAAAGTCTGTTAAGTGGTAAAGTTCTACTGGAGTGGGAGGGGGCCGGTTTGGAGTCGATGGGGCTGGGCTTGGATTATAGGAGGGTTCCATTGAAACTGTTGCTGCTGTTGGATCACTTTGAAGGTATTGTGGTTGGATAGGATTTGCTTCTTCTCTCACAGGATTCTGATGATTCTTTTTTTCGTCCCAAGCCTTTCGTCTTCCACATAAAATGAAAGCAGCAATCAAGGCGGAGAAATACCAAGCGATGGAGATTGACGTAAAGACCAAACCAGCGACGGCGCATCGGGTGTAGCGATCGCATCCAGTTGGAATGCGTTCAGGTTTCACTGGGGCTGTCTCGTAATCCCGACACCCATCAGGATAATCAGAGTTAACGATCTTCCCGTAATATGCAGCATCAAATCCAAGAACCGTCCCTACTGCTATAATCATCAAACAAATGTAGAAAACGAGAAGTCTTGTTTCTGATAGATCTGACTCTTGACGATGTACAGATGTCCAGATTGAAGCTCCAATTAACGCGAGAAGAAGACCGACGATTCCACTCCAAGGAAGTGGAATACAAAACTACAAGAAATGCAATCCGTCAAATCAAAGTCTTCCCCTTACTTGACTGATTCCATAAGCAAAACACATTATTGCTCCCAGAGCCACAGTCCATCGCACACTAGAAATCGCAGCTGAGAGAGAGGTTGATGTCCCAAGTCGCAGTGAGGTACATGTCCCAAGTATCATCCATCATGTAAATCATCACAGTGTTCCATTCTCTACTTACTGTCAATGCTAAGCAATTCAGCGCGTCGGCTTGGCGGGATTGCAATTGTTAGAAGTCGACGAGCCCCTCCTGTCCATGCCTTTGTCTTTTGTCGAAAAGGTTTTTCTTCCCACAAGTCCTTCGTCGGTGGGACGTCTGCCTCGATATCCCCCTTTGATAGGGAGGGTAATCTTTCAGCCATCACTAAAATAAATTGATCATGTAATCTGCAGAGATTCCCGAAAAATAATCAAAAATTGAAGCTCGGGGAAATTCTTGCCGTTGGTTGTTTCCGCTGCGCATGCATAACAGGACCCCCACCACAATTTCTTTTTTTTTGAGTTATTGTTCACTTGATGTTATTGTTCGCCTAATGTTATCGTTTGCCAACACCAACTCAAACTTAAGGTTTTAAACGACCCTCTTCTATGAAGTCTTTCACCAGAACAATTTTTCTCATATGTCCTATTCTTAGTCTATCAAGGATCCAATTCGGTAGGTTTGTATCAGATTTAGTCTGTTAAGAAAATATTGATGATGCCAGCCGGAAATTTTAATATTTTCTGGTGATGCCCACCTGTTCAATAAACGTTAATTGCACCCCCTCACTTGATGCTGTTATGTCCCAGCCACCTCTCTAGTGACAAAACGTGAATTTGTATTCAGCTACATTAATGACTAGCACTTACAACGAGTTCAATACGAGCGCAGTCATCGCAAAATCGCTTCTTTATTTCTGAAGTCTCCAGTTTTGGGACATTTATTGACAGCGCCGTTACAACTCCCCATTTCCCGTCTTGACTCACTCCCCTCGAAATTGCATAAACTCCCTCTCGACCACTACGCCCTTCAGCAGCACCTCCATAAACAATTGATAGATCCGGATTAATGGTATACATCTTGAACACACAGGTGATAGAGGGATCTATCAACTTGCGGTGTTTGGGACTGAAGAGGAGATCCACAATTTCCGCGACAGTGTGGTTAGTTTTGACATGAAGACTCGCACGACTTATAGCAGGAAAGTCTTCTAATAGTCGCATTTGGTCGATCTAAAAGAACAATTGGTTTTCGAAACTTGAAATATTTCAAAGATGATGTTGTCGCTTTACTCGATTATTCATCATATTCGCATCTACGAATTTCACAAACCAATATTTCAATGACGCTGTGATCAAACTTACAGTAAGATCTTGGTCACTTCTTAAAGTCGACCAAGGCTGTCCGACACAACCATCATGAAGTCGTAATCTTCTGGGATCTCTGTCACGGCTGGACAACTGATGAAGTTCATCCTGCAATAAGTGACTCCGATTAGAAATCTCTTGTAATAAATGTTCTTCGACTCCAAGACCTTTGAGAGTCACAACATCCTTCGCACACATTCCAAGAAGGCGATGGTCTTGCCAAAAGCGGGAGCGACGACCTTCCGGAAACTTCAATACGGAATATCCATCCTCTGTTCCGGGCGACTCTTTCAGCGCAATAGATCTGGAACCGCGCAGAACCAATGCGCCCGACGATGTTGGAGGAACCTCAGGAAGTTCATCTAAACTTTGAATCAACTGAATTTGTTGGTTTTCTGTTTCAAGTGCTGAAGTTGATTCCCAAGGCATTGGAATGTCAGGAGGGGGACCTGAATACACGATGAACAGAGTCATCGAAGGATCCTTCGTCTATCGTACCTTCGAGTCTTTCAAACAAGCGCTTGGCTGATGCAATAATTGGACCATCGAGAGTTTGTCGGACATCTGCGCGATAAAACAAGACGTCTTTCTTTGTATCTGGAACGCCACTAGGTAATTTGATTTCGGTAAGAATCTGCAAGTAAAAACGGTTATTCAACGCTAAAGAAGGATTGAACCTATCTCTACCTTTCTCGTTTCGGTGATCATCAATCCATCCATGATGCGTTTCCTCAGGGATATCAACGTCTCTTCCTTTGAGTCCGCAGTTGTCGTACTGGTCCAAGCCCCTAGATCGGTATCCTTTTCTTTGTGTTCTTCGCCATCAACGTGGAGTATAACGTTTTTCGCGATGTTCATTGGGAGTAATTGCTCAATTGTCACTATCCGAGCGTTTCTTGTGTATTTGCAACTCGGCGTAAATTGTTCGATTGCCTGAGAAAAACAGAAGTCGATAAATGTCTCTGTCGACAGCCCCATCGTACTTTCCGAACGGCCCAGGACACTCCCATCGCCTTCGATACTTCTTCCATGGGATCCGATCGACTCCTAATTAAACGCCACGTTCCCAAAAAACGGTTCAAAAACTGAAAACGAGGCGTCCCACATGGCGAATGGCAAACTGACTTACCACAAACGGGTCCTCTTCTTTGACTGGAACTTCCTCGATTGGTTCTCTCGGTTGAATTTCTTCTTCTATATTCACGGTGGATTCCAACAACAAAGGTCGTTCCTCCTCGTGTTGAGGTTTTTCTCTTTCTTCTGTTTGTACAACACGTTGGTGGGAGTAGCCGGCAACTGCAGGACGACTGACGGAAAGCAGGCGTTCGAACAAGAAAAAGAAGAAGAGAACCTCCCGCATTGGACTCGAGAACGAGAAGAGGACAAAAGCGGCGGAGAGGATGGAAATACAGTAGAAACTAATGATGAATTGGTGGAGTTGCGCTTGATGGGAATGAAGAAAGGGTGCCGATTTGAGGGTAAAAAATGAATCGATTTGAGAAAGCTTCAACGTTTGAAGATTTAAATAAGGAAGAGAGAGAAATCTTGAAGAAACTGAAACACTCAGAAGTGCGTGAAGTAAGAGAAGCGGGAACATGGATTCATGGAAAACTCCGAGAGCTGGAAGAAGGATCTGATTGTAGATAAAAAGACAAAGATAAATAGAGATTTCGAATCAACGTATCTGGCGATGACGCTCGATTTCTGAAAACGAAATCAATCGTAGAATGCGAACGTACATAAAGCAGAAGTTCGTCAGTGACGGAAGCAAGATCAAAATCTAGAGATGAGGATGTTCTCTGGATGCTTTTATACGGAAGAAAAATAGAGGAACAGAATCGAATCAAATAAGCGATTTCAAACGCGTCGAACTTGGTGCAGATGAAATTAAGGAATGGCGGGGGCTTGTTGGAAAGGCTGCGGAGAACCCCGAGCGTTGGGCAAGACACTCCAATGGTTGCGCAAACTGTGGGAAATTGCGTTGTCCACACAAGCCCGAAAACAACCCAAGGAGCCAGACGGATAATGACGAGACGCGGATCGAGAGGACCGCTTCCTGAATTGGGGCTTGAAGCGAGTGAAGAAGAAAGAGCTTTGGAGATTTCAAGGGATAGAAGAAAGCGGGACGCTTGGAAAAGGCGTCGAAACAAACAACTCAGAGGAGATGAAGTGAGGGAATAGCGGAAATGTGGAAAAAATACGCGAAAATGAAGAAAATCCTCCAAAAAAGGAAATTCGAAAAGTCTGAAGGACAAGTAAAAGGATCAATTTTGAAACATAACGGAAAGCTTCATACTTGAAGAAGTTTGCGACTTGACGAGCTTCGACGAATGCGAGAATAAACGCGATAAAGAAAGAAAAGAAAACGGGAAAAGCCCACCGGAAATTTCTAAATTGAAAAAAATGAGGAAAGCACGACTTCAACTCATCAAATACCTCGGAAGGGAGACCAAACAATTCATTCCTATCGATTTTGAGCCTTCTTCTTCTGATCGATAGACCGTGTTGATAATTGGATTGGCAGCGAATTCATGTGCTTCTTCTCCAGGAAAAACAAGAGTCGTTCTGATTGAGTTGCGTAAGGTTGCGCTAGCGAGACTAGGGAGAGTTGAAACGACATCAAATGGGACTGGCTTCAAGAAATTTGCAACATTCAGAGCGAGATCTTGAGACAAACTCTGCAGAAAAATAAAATAAATAAAGAATTAAATGAAAAGAACCTACAGCTTCGTTCAAGACGGTCGAAGGAACAGAAATTAACCAAAGAAGGACGCAAATTGGAAAAAAACATTGGATCGATGTTGAAAGTGGCAAGAAGGATGAGAAGATGATGATCCCAGAGATTCCAATCAACGGAGGAATAAGAAGGGATTTGAGATGAACATCAATGGCTGATAGAAATGTCCCGCCGGTTCCAATCATTCCGACCTGAAAAGAGATAAAAGACTTTTAGTATTAGAGTGACCCAAAAAACCATTTGGATATTGCATCTAATAAAAATTAAGCATTGCGCGTACCAGTGAGTCAACATTTTGTCTGTCGTTAAAGAGATTTTCCTTAAAAGCATTTCGATTGAACAACGATGGGAATCGAATCTCTAGAAGTCCCATTCCAACGCAAATTTGGACAATTCCAATATCCTAATCCATCAACAAGAAGAAGACCATGAAGAGAGTTGAGTAGATGAGATTCCGAATTCTAATGGAAAATGTTTGTTCACCTCTAAGGACAAATAAGGCGCATTTGTGTCACACGCAATCGAACATATTTCAGCAAGTAGAAGAAGATTCGACTCATAAGGAGTAAAGAGGACGCACGAGGGATCCCTCCATATTTCTGCCCTGAAACACAATCGTGTTTAAAGGCCTCGTTGTCTGATGCAGGTCTTTTTGTAAACATCTTCTTCTTAAGTACTGAATACCTTGAGGTTGCTTACAAATTCTCAAATTGCTTGGAATCCGTTAATCGAAATGGTCTCAAGCTTCCGTCATTTCTTCGTTTAATGACTCCTTGGCGTTCAGATCGATGAATCAGCAATTGGCGAGTAGCTCGCACCTCAATAAGAACTGAATCATCATCTTGCGGCAAATGCGATAGAATCAGGTCAGGATGAGCCGTAATGCGATCCAGCAAATACTTGAGGAGTTTGGTGGAAACTGAATCTGTCTTTCGAACAAGTAGAAGCTGAAGACATGCTGGATGAATCTCTTTCTGAGCAGCTCGGGGGCGTCTTTGAAACTGAAACCTTTCCTCCTTCACTAGAACACCAGATGCCACCTCACGTGAATAACGGGAGTGTAATTCAATTGCACCAGAGATCCGTTGGTTTCCTGGAACCCATGAACGCCCTTGCAGCGTGGTGTTGGTTTCACGCGACATCTAGGAATTCACAGGTGCTTGCCTAATAAGGTCGTAACATCGTTAAAAATACTAAACCAACAAAATGTTTGGAAGAGAACGACGCATTTTGTTGGAAAAAATCAGATGGTTTTGAAATAGCGAACTTATGAAACAGATGCGTCAACATTTCTAATGCAAAGGCTTCGCATCGAGGGGTGGTGTCTCAGGAACACTAGAAGGCAGGGAGTCGCTAAGGGGTGAAGCAAATGAAGGACTTTGTCTATTTGTATGAGATTCCTGAGCAACAGCAGCACTTGCTGATGATTCAACATTATTTCTCTCTGGGGAACTTTCTTCTTCTGAAGGGAAGGCCGGAGTGGGAGGAACAAGAGCGGATCCAATTTGTTCTTCTATAATGGGACTTGAAATTTCATCGTCTCTTTCTTCAGCACTTTGGCCTTCCCAGTTTTCTTCCATTTCTGCGGGTTGATCAACGAATCTCGTTGGTTCTTCCCTTTGAGTCAATCCAGATGGTTGTTCCTGAAATTCTTCTAATTGATCTTCTGCCCAAAAATCCACAACTTCAAATTGCTGCAGTTCTGCAGTCTTTGTTGGTTTGGCGCCCCTTTTATGCTTTTTTGATTTTCCAATTGCGTTCGATTCTTGAACAACCTTGCTCGTTGAGGCACTTTGAGTTCCTATTGGGGGAATCGGACGATCCTCATCAAACACAGGAAATGAGGGCGGAATGACATTCAAGATTCCGGTTAAATCTGACGTTTTCCGCGTTGATTTTTCCATTGAATCTGATGAGCTTTCCACAGACTCTTTCATATCAGAGTTGCGTCTTTGATCTTTTGGTGAAGAGAGCGGAGTCACAAAGTCATGTTGCAGCTGTTCATTAAATAACAACTCGTTCGCTTTATGGTTTGTTGCAAATGGATTTGTTCCTTCCGTCTTCATCCCAGATGTGGGGATTGGACCTCCCAAGGGAAGTTTATAGTAGAAGTGGTTAGTGACAGGACGCATAGGCACTCCAACTAATGGAGGTCTACTAGCAGAAGATTGTGTGGGATGAGATGCCAGCCGCCCAGCTGACAGAACAGTTGGGTCATATTGGCCTGATTCAGACCCGATGAGAAGAGGGGAGGGCCGTAAGTGTGTGGGTGCTATATGAGTACTACGATGAGGAACTGTTTTCTGGAAAGACACAGAAGTCTCTGGCCCAGATGATTGAGGGGGGGATGCTCTTGCGCCAGATATTTCTTCTGGGATATTAGTAACCATTCGAGTGGTTGTAACGCGAGAGAAACGGACACTTTTAGGTGAAACAGATGCATCACGACCATTTATCTGCTCCTACAGCAACAACATTACCACATGGTTTCATGGCGGAGTACTTACGGGAGTGGCCTCATTCAAAGAACGTGGCTCGGCTTGGGGCTCTGAAGATTGTTTTAATTGCACTGGGGGATTTTTCATCAGTTGAATTTTAGTTGAACGAACTTCGCTGATTGCTGCATTGTCGGAATTGTCGTTGAAATTTTCATTGTGAGCAGCACTGAAGATGAAACAATCAAGTTGTTCATTCAATTCCCTGATTTTCAATTTCGCCATCGCAAGTTCTGTTTCAAGAATTTCGGTTTTTGTTGCGAGATTTTCAACCAATTTTTCTTTTTCTTTCAGCTGCTTCTTCAAAGCAAAGATGTCACCTCGAGGTGTCTGCACTTCCATCAACATTCCATCACCACGGAGAGGAGTTGTTTCTAGAAGCATTGCCCGTGCTTCCAATTGTTTGATCAACGCGTTACGATCCTCAAGCTCGATTTTGTAAAATTTTACTTCTTCGGCCATTTTTTCAACTTTACGCCGTTCCAATCTGTCAATCAAAATCATAACGTTATTGAAGACACACATCTTGTCAAATGCTCTTGATGTAATTTCTAGTCCTTACAAGATTTTTCCGGCGGCTTCTTGTTCTATTTCATTACGTTCTTTTTTCCATGTTCTGAAGTCTTCAATATTCTGCCTCATTAAATCTTCAGATACATTTTGTTGTTCGCGATTAATCGAAGCGAAATTATATAAATCTGGGGGGCTCTCACGCAAATAGTTCTGAAAATCAAAAGAAAGAGATAAATAAATATTCCAAGCAGAGTTATTCGCAGCAACATATTTCCCAACAATCCATCACTTCAGCATCACTTACGCGGTGTGCTTCACTACTGGATAGATTCAGTCCGGGTGATTCATTCAAAGAAGGAAAATTGAGGGAAAGAGGAAACGCAATCGAAGACGAAGATGTCAATCGCTGGCTCATCAATAAATTCTTCTGTGATGGAATATCGCGCGTTGTATCGCCAGAAACTGAAGGAAAACGACTTTTGAAGAAAATTTCATCCATCTTTGAATTTCGACGAGTGACGTGCGATGAAGTCGTTCGTTGGGACATTGTTGGGACAACTGGTGACTGAAGCGCGTGTTGCTCAGAGGTCGAAGTGGTGAATGGATTTGAGAGGCTGTCCCAAACACGAACTGGGCGATTTGGGACAATTTTCTCATCCCTCTTTTCTCTCAATTCTGGCTTCAAAGAGACTTCACTATCGATCTCATCCTTTTTCAATCGTTTTTCTCCTCCAAACTCTTTTTTAGCACCAACACAATCAAACTCCTTCGAAAGTCTTGTCCATAAATCAAATTGCTTCGAATCTTCTTCATCACCCAAACTGGCAATAAATCGATTTTTTCTCTCACGATTCTTTTTCTCTAGCGTCTTTTTGATGTCTTCTATTATGACACCCTTACCAATTGAGTCGTGTCCAATAGAACTGTTTGCAATTGAACCTGGATCGCGACTTGCTCTACTCGTTCTGCTGCTCACCCATTGTCTTCTGTACTCAGGAGGCGTAGTGACAGAGGGGGAAGCCATCTCTTTCTGTCTCTTCAACCCTTCGTATCAAAAACGGCCTCCATTCTGAGGCTTAAGCTTTGGTTCCGTAACTTGGCACGACGGTCCTGGAGCAAGCTGCTACATCAGGGCACCAGTTTAAGAAAATTGGCGGAAGGAAACAAGTGATGAATCAGAATTTGTTTGTGCAACCAATTCTCACGTTTGATTCTTAATCATCAAGACAGTCAACAAGTGATCTCTTACCCAATGTCACTGCTTCCTGGTGCTCGTCGACCTCCATTGTTTTCTTCCGGGCATGGGCGGGGGTTCGGAAGTGGAATCGGCTGGGGGTTGTCCCCTGCGGGATACATCCCAGGTGAGTAGCTCTCTGTCTTGCTGATTTGGAATTCCTGAGGTTTGAACTTCTAGTGCGACTATCGTTTTGAGAATATTGATGTCTGAATTGTTTTTAGGAAGAGGACGCGGTGCGACAGGATTCGCTGGTGGCGTCAGTCGTGATGACGCGACAACGATGGAGGAGCGTGATCGCGGTACTGTTTTCCCAATTTGTACCTATTTCGATTTCGGTGTTTGTTGCAGGCGACTACTCAGAGTCAAATTACGATGAATTTGCTGGATATAGTGAAGGACTTTTCACGTCGGGAGAATACGACGAAGAAGACAGACAGGCTGACGTTGTTTATGGAGAAATTGATGACAAGTTGGACGCGAGACGGCGAGCAAAACGTGAACAAAGATTTAAGGAAGAGTTGTCAAAATTAAGAGCAGAGAAACCAACATTGAGTCAACAGTTTTCAGATTTAAAAAGAGGATTAAATCAAGTATCGCAAGAAGAATGGGAATCAATTCCAGATATCGGTGACTATTCTCTGAAGAGTAAACAGAAAAAAGCAAGAACTTTGGCTCCTGCTCCTGATTCACTTCTGATGAATGCACATTCAATGAATCAGACAGTTGGAGCTCTTGATGCTCGAGGGATTGGAGGAGGTGCCGTCACTCCGATAGGCTTCGGACTCCAAACGCCTCTAGCTGGATTTCAAACTCCCATGGGCTTGAGAACACCATTAGGATTGAGCGGGTTATCAACTCCCTTTGCAATGGGAGGAGGAAATCGAACGCCACTTGGAGGATTCAGAACTCCTATGAACGCAGGTGGAAGTGCTACACCGTCTTTAAATGATTTGGGCGAAGCTCGCGGTACAATTTTGACTGTGAAGCTTGATAAGGTGATGGATTCTGTCAGTGGGCAATCTGTCATTGACCCGAAAGGCTATCTGACAGATTTGAATTCCATGCCAGTGAGTCAAGTCCCAAACAACAGTGCGTTGAACGTTTCTTGTTGCAGGTATCTACAGATGCAAATATTCAGGATATAAAGAAGGCCCGACTATTATTAAGATCTGTAACACAAACAAATCCACAACATGCACCTGGCTGGATTGCTGCAGCACGATTGGAGGAATTGTCAGGTGAGCCATCTCTTGTATTGATGGATGTTCATGTGTATTTATTGTAGGGAAGCTTGATGCTGCTCGGGAACTTATTGCTCAGGGTTGCACTCTTTGTAAAAATAATGAAGATGTTTGGCTTGAAGCTGCGCGTTTAGAGAAATCTAAAGAAGCAAAGTCAATATTGGCGAACGGCATTCATGAAAATCCAACATCAGTGCGTCACAGTTATTCTATTGAATGTCGCTCGAGCGTGTTGCTGTTATTAGATTGCGGTTATGAAATAGACTACTTTGACAGTTGATTGTGTGTCTCTGTTATCAGGTAAAATTGTGGATGGAGGCTGCTAGGAAGGAAGAGGACATCGCACTTAAGAAACAAATTTTGCGTAAAGCTTTGGAGAAGGTTCCGAATTCTGTTCGTCTATGGAAAGAAGCGATCAGTCTCGAAGGGCCGAAAGATGCAGAAATTCTTCTAGGGCGTGCCGTTGAATGTGTTCCTACAAGTGTTGAAATGTGGTTGGCACTCGCACGATTGTCGAAGTATGAAAACGCTCAGGTGAGTTGATGAGTTGAAAAATTGTTTGATAAACTGCTTGATTGATTTCTTACTTCTCAGCGGGTTTTGAATGAAGCGCGCAAACATATTCCAACAAATATAGAAATTTGGATCAGCGCTGCTAAGTTGGAAGAAACGCATAACAAGACAGATATGGTAAGTAAACCATAACAGTCGCAATCATTGAGTGTCCCAAATAGGTTGATCGAATTATATCTCGTGGTGTGGAAAACTTGACGACGAAAGGGGCTGGTCGTGATCGCGACTCTTGGATGAAACATGCTGAAGAAGCAGAGAAGACTAGATATCCGAAAACATGCGAGGCAATCATCCGAGTAAGCGGGATTCTCCCAAATATAGAGGGATTGTCCCAAATAGCGGGAAATTGAAGCCATCAAGAAATTATTGTTTTTAGGCCACGATGGATATCGGTGTCGAGAGCGTGAATAGGAAAAAAATTTGGGTTAGCGATGCGGAAGGGGCGTTGGGACGAGGAATGGTTTTAGCCGCCCGATGCTTGTATGCTAATGCGTTGAAAGTCCTTCCCAAAGAAGAAGATCTGTGGATTGCTTTGGGACAATTGGAAATGAATTTTGGGACACCAGAGGCCCTTGATCAAATTTTATTAAAGGTAACAGATAATAGGCAAGAGTTGAATTTTATGAAATTGTCTGGTTTCTTCTGTTCGATCGATTTCATAATTTTTTGATTTTTTCAGTCTGTGGATCGCGAAGCTTGTCCTCATTCGGAAACGCTTTGGTTGATGGCAGCAAAACAAAAATGGATCAGAGGAGAGATTGAACTTGCAAGAAAGCTTTTAGAGAACGGGTTCCAATCTGTTGTACAGAAGGAATCAATTTACTTGGCTGCAGTGAAACTCGAACGAGAAGCTGGGGAAACTGAAAGAGCTCGGAAATTGTTAGCCGCTGCCCGTCTTGGGTGCCGGAACAGTGAGAAGGTAATCAACAGGATGACCCACATCTTTGTTGATATGTGGCTAATATTAGGTTTGGATGCACTCGGTGCAGCTTGAAAGGATGCTAGGAGATTATGACGCTGCCCAAAACTTGATTGATGAGGCGTTGAAGTTGCACCCTAAGAATCCGAAACTTTGGATGATCAGCGGTCAGATCATCATGGAAAGGATAGAGGGAGAGGAAGGAAAGACTGAAGCACTCAAATTATTCGAAGCTGGGAGAAAGGAGTGCGTTAGGTCGATCGAATTGTGGTTGTGTGCCGTCAATATTTACAGAGAAAGCGGAAATTGGAATCGTGCAAGGGCCTTGCTTGAAGAAGTGAGCAACTTATAAAAGAAGTCATTCTTTGAGCTATTTGGATTGTTCGTTCTATTTTGAGAAATTTCTTTGATATTTTAGGCTCGTTTGAAGAATCCAAAGCAAGAGTTATTGTGGTTGGCCGCTGTAGAGATTGAGATTGAAGCGGCTGGTGTATCAAGAACAGATTGGTCACAGGGAATTGTTGGAACTGCGAACCTCCAAATGGCTCATCACATGATGTCAAAAGCGCTTCAGGAGTGTCGAAAATCCGGAATATTGTGGGCAGAAGCGATCTTTTTAGAACCAAAGGCCGCGCAGGTACGCTCAACTGAAAGAAAATAGCCCTGCACTGAGGCAATAGATTGCATTCAGTCCATTCAATTACTCAGAATGCCAAATCAGTCGACGCTTTTACAGCGTGCGAAAATGATCCCCATGTGATGCTTGCTGCTGCCAAGTAGGCCGTTACTAGCGGAATGGAACTTTTAGCTGTTTCTCTTTTTCGCAGATTGTTCTGGAGAAGTAATCGTTCAGAGAAGGCGCGTCGCTGGTTTAATCTAGCAATCAAATTGAACCCAAGGTAACTTGAAAGATTAAATTATCTGCACGACACTCAAGGTACAAAATTTGTTCGAATTTGTTTCTTGTAGGTTGGGAGATGCATGGGCTGCTTATCTCGCCTTCGAACTGATGGAAGGAACTGATGAGAAGCGTCGAGATATTCTTCAACGTTGTGCGTATTCTGAACCAAATAATGGATTGCAATGGAACAGAATTGTGAAAAGACCCCGAAATTGGAAATTATCATATCCAGAGAAATTACGTGTTGTACTCGAAGAATACTATCCCCAATGCCTGACTGCGATTTCACATAAACGACCGATTGGCCAAGGTGCGACTTGAACATCCTGAAACAGATATTTCAATTTCATTTTTTGATTTTTGTAGAGATTTTCGATCTTCTTTCTGGGCGAACGAGTTTGCCACCAAAAGATTCGTTGAAGCCTTCAGTGCGACAAAAACAGAACAAAGCAGAAGAAGTCCAACAACCTGAAGCGTGACATCTGCGCTCAACTCAATTCAGACCGAACAACCTTTTCACCAATTGTTTTTCTTCTGACTAATCTTTTTCCAGAACTCCCGTCAAAAGAAGTAAAAAAGTGGGACATCGCACAGAACCTACGAAGAAAAGAGTCATCAATTGATATCTTGATGTTCTATACTTGTATAATTGTCATGTTCATTGCGAATTAGCATGAGATTTGACATGTTGCATTTCTACATGCTTCATTATAGCGGATTGGGACACACTGTGTATATCTCTGCGGGAATATCATCAGGACTCATGCTCAGTCATTTTTGGTTGGTTGCGTAATGGAACCTCAATTCTTCGGATCCTCAATCGAGCGACTGGAATCATCTCTGATTGTTGTCTTTGACAGCTAAATGCCGCTTCAGTGGTAGTGCAGAAATGATTAATCAGTCGCGATGCAGTTAAAGCCCTCAGAGTGTGATGAACTCAAATTTCCGTTTTCTGTAGGGTTGGAGGTTTCGATATTTCAGCATGCGTCCACAATTCCCTGCAACAAATATGATTTTCTTCACTCCGCCCAGTCCATCGCAATGAATAGCTCTGATGTGGAAGAGACGTCATTCGCAGCCACGCGCCTGGAATGGAACGTCCTTCGTTCTTATCTGAAGGAGAGACACCCTCACGGGTCGGTGATGTTACTGAATTTGTCGAAGGTAAAGATGATCTAATATATTATCATCCTTATTTATCAATATTGAGAAATAATAGACGGTAATATTTCTCAGATCGAATCTCAATGGAATTATTGGGAATATCTTTTTCCAAATATTAAAATTTGTTATCCGATTCGTGTGAATGATGATCCAGCTGTATTGAATTTGATATCTATGAAAGGAGGTAACTTCGATTGCACGACAAAAACAGAGATTGATCGAGTGATAAAAGATCTGCAGCTGCCAAGCTCTCGAATTATTTTATCGAATATCATCAAAAGTAATTCACTCATGCAGTACGCAGCCAGTCTTGAGGTCTCTCCGATGTATTTTGATAACGAGGGTGAATTGCTTAAAATTGCCAACTATTCACCAAAAGCGAAGGTTGTTCTTGGAATCAAGACGCTCCAATCAGAACGAAAAGCTTTTGAGTGCTCCGATCCTCCGCCGCTTCCTTCTGCCTTCGCTGTCAAGTACGGTGCCCCGAAATTGAAGTGGTCCTCTTTGTTTAAGTGTGCGAAATCCCTGAAGCTTGACGTCGTTGGAATTAAAGTTGACGTGGGGGCTCCTTGGGACAATTCAGATGAATATATTGATGGATTGCGTAACGCATATGACGCTTTTCAAATGGGGAAAGAATGTGGCTTTTGCATGAGATTGGTGGATTTGGGATCCTTCTTCCCTGTTGATGCAAACCCACAGTCCCCTCATCTCGTTCGATGTTGGAAAGATTCGTCGTACTTTAAATGAGCTGTTTCCCTCGAGTATAGAATTGATTGCTGAGCCGGGGGTCTTTTTAACCAGAGAATCAATGTCTTTAGCTGCAAAGGTGGTCAGAAATCAGATTGAAAATGATTGAATTATAATTGTTTGTTCAGGTGGAAGCGCATAAAATGGAGAAAATGAAAAAAGGAAACGAGATTTGGAGCCGACAGAAGTTGATCATCAGTGATGGAAGGTTTCAGTCGTTTGGATTAACAGCTTTGGGACTGAGGATCCCACATCCAACTGTGCTGATGATGACAGAGGAATTAGATGAAAATACAGATGAGTCTCCCGATCCATTATTTGGTGCACCTGAAATTGGAGAGATAAATACAATTATTCCGGGAACTCTAATGAACGTCAGGAACATTGTATGTAGAGAAGATCAAAACGAGCTTGTTGATACTCTTGTCTTCGGGAATACATGCAGCTGGGACGACATCATTGGTGCTGAAAACAGTCGTATGCAATTGCCATTACTCTCAGAGGGCGACTGGTTGGTATTTCCAAATATGGGATCCTTCACGTTGACTTTAGGATCAACTTTCAATGGACTTCCGCTGCCGGAAATAGTGAGATGTAAGTTTCGGGACT